GTATATTTACATCTACGTCCTACGTCTACGATGTACGTCTTGTATGAAAAAAACAGTGAAATGTGAGATAGTTAAGCGTTTTTTTTTGCTGTGTTAATTACGTTATAGAAGGACCTTCGGTACTAATCGACGTCAAAAAGATAGCATCTAAAATCTGCAGTAAAGTGTTATGGTAGGGGATCGAACCAGCAATCTTCTTCCCGATGCACAGTTGCCGAGTGGCAGAGCGGAGTGAGACAGACAGTGATCGCCCGCTGAGGTTAAAATAGCAGGAGGGGAAGTGGCTGTGGCCTTTTTCACTCCGACGATTGGAGCTCTTGCCAGTTAGACACCCAATGTTTGGGTCCGGGGCAGTCAACCGGTTAAGTCTTAGGGATCCAACGAAACCCAACGGACATCCATTAATTCTCTGTGTGGAAATACTGTAATCGCCCATAAACTCTCTTCGCCGTGAGAAATTCGATGGTAACGTTTGGAAGCAGGACGAGTAGGCGGCAGTACTATACAGTACTGCTGTCTAAGTACTGTCGCAAAATAGTGCAGAATCGTCATCACACATTACCACACAGGAAACACAACTAACATAAGTACGTTAGAAAATTGAGCAAAAACGATACAGAACTTGGCATGCTCCACGGCCTGAGAATTCATGACGTGATCGTGAAATCTATATTTAAGCCGCTTTAACCCTATGAGAGGTCCAGCGTTGATAGGCAGACGGCGTCGCACTGCCGTTTGCGCGGCAGTAGCAGGAGGCGGTATCTCATGTCCGTGCATGCACTACTGCTTGTCTGCGTCTGCTTTCCCGCGAGACGCGACGCCGCTATTACAATGACTGGGCGAGATTTGACGTCAGGCGATACGGTACGAAACGTACTCTTTGGTCCTTACAGGGTTAGAAGTCCAATTTTTCTCGTTTCATCTTGTTTCTTACTTACCTGCTGAAGTGGTTTTTTTCCCACGGATTTCCTCAAGACTTGCTTGCATAGCGCGCTCTACGGCCACTCCATGACCCAGCGAGCTTTTGGTATTCTCCGAAGCGCACTACTAATTTGTTCTTCATTTGTTGTTGTTTCATTTTATTTCATACTTGCGGAAAAATTCAATCGTACTGAACAAACTCGAATTATATGAAATGGTGTTTTTTTCTGTGCTTCGTAGGTTTCCTTCTCAAGCCCCTATGCATAGCGCGCCCCACGGCTAAACTGTGAACCCCCTGCGTTTGATCTTCAATTAACCCCTCTTAACCCTAAGGGACGCGTATCGTCTGAGGTACACGATGGTTAGAAAGCCTTTCTCGCTGGACAAAATTTTGGTCCTTCTCGGTTATAAGGGGACAAATGAAAAAATCGAACTTATTAGCTGGACACGAACTTTTCATGGGTAGTAGATTTCTTTTTATCTGACCGCCACTTGTGGTGATATGGTGCTACAGTATACCCAATAATGTGGAGGCTGTGAAAAAAAATTTGCGTGAGCCGGGATTCGAACTCAGATCTTACTCTTTCCGGGAGCGTATGCTAACTGTTGCACCACCGACGCTGGTGCGTGTGCCGGGATAAGTTGGTGGTGCAACGGTAAGCATACGCTACCGGAAAGAGTGAGATCTGGGTGCGAATCCCGGCTGACGCTTGACATTGTTGGAGTGTTAGTAATCAATGTAAAGCTCAACTCTCTGGCTACAACTCCACATGGCGAATTTTTGAAAAAGTCTTTTTTTAACGTTGTAACAGAGGGTAATCTCTTGCGTTTCACACATGCATTTTTCTCGTGAGACAGAGCTGTTTCTCTGGACTGTTAGAGATTATTCGATAGCTGAATGTTTACTGATTCTGAGGCTGTGCTTATTTTCTGGAAAAACCGTTTCCCTGTAGTGCAGCAGGGAGAATAAGTTTAATTCATATACGCAAAAAGGTGTTTTTTTTGGTAATCCATGGGATGATTGGCGGAAAGGGGGGTGGGGCGGGGCGGGGCGAGGATGGATGTGGCCGTTCTCACTCTCGACTATCGATCGGTTCGCGCTATGGCTGGTGGCATACCTCCCTGCTGCACTGCAGAGTAACGTTTTTCCCGAGAATAAGCACAGCGTTGGAATCAGCAAATATTACGCTATCGAATGATCACTAATAGTCCCAGGAAAAAGCTCTGTCCGGCGAGGTGTATAGCACAAATCTTTTATTTCTCCTACACCGCTATCAAAAGAGCTTTTCCAAAAAGCAGACATATTTCTGAGTTCTTCGAAACTTGTGCTATCGAATGAATGCTAGCACTCTAAGGAAGTAATTGTGTTCAGCGAAATATAAGCGAGATAAGAAAAAAAAAACGCGTGGTCGTACGAAACACGACTGTTTTGAATGTTACAGCGTTGTAGAAGGGTGTTTAGAAAAACGGGCCACGTAGGACACTAGCCATAGGGCTAAGCTTTCGAATAATTACATACACTCCTATGAAAAGTTCCTGTCCACCAAATGAGTTCGGATTTTTGGTTGACCCCTTATGACCGAAAAGAACCAAGTTTTCTCTCAGACCCTTGAAAATTGTTTGAAATCTTGGATCTCAGCAATTTCAGCGATATGTTTAGTTTTTTAAAAAGTCTTTTTTCAATATGTTCTAGCGACGGAAATAAAATCATGTTTCGCACTCAGTTTGCTTTGTTTGCTCGGCTCGAGCTTGTATGTGACTCTTCTTCAGACTCTTACCGGTCATTCGATAGCCCAAATCACGAAGATTTCGATGCTGCAGTTGGTTTTTTTAAAGGTCATCACATAAAGCCGTAAGAGCGAAAAGAAGATTACGTTTCGCACTCAAGGTTTTTATCGTCCGGAAAAGTTATTTATGCAAGAAAAACATATGATCATGTAGAGAAAATCATGGAGTATTAGAGCAATACAAAAAACTTAAGGTTTTAATCCGTAAATTGAGGAAAAACTCTCACTGAATAACGAAAAACGCGCGGCTCTTGCGAGATGCGCTGTGCGACGACCGATCAATAGCCGTCACTAAAGGGTTATAGGTAATGACAGTTCTTTTCCCATTCTGACACTTCCCTCAAATCATGTTTGCATAGCGCGCTCCACGGCCAATCCATGACCCAACGAGCTTTTATGTCGTTTGTGGGAAATTTGAATTTAAACGCTATCCTAGTTCAATAATCAATCCGAAGTCATTTTATTTGACCGCCAATTGCGCTTTATGATGTTTGTATGAACCCAATGATGTAGAGTGGTGTGCAAAAACGTTTGCGTTAGCCGGGATTCGAACCCCGATCTTACTCTTCCCGGGAGCACGTGTTAAACCGTTGCACCACCGACGCTCGTTTTGCACTTCACTCGGAAAGAGTAAGATCTGGGTTCAAATCCCGGCTGACACAAACGTTTTTGCTCTCCTAATTTGTCAAATTGCTTCTCGTTGTTGCCTTTTCTCACCTACTTACTGGTCAATGCTTATCCTAATGATCGGAATCTACTCGTCGGTAGTGGCAATTCATTCATTGATCTATTGATTTTCTCCTCAATTCGTGCTTTTGCACATTTTTTTCCAGTCACTGAAAAATAATTCGTCGCATTGAATTAATTCGTCCAGATTTTGTCGGAGGTGTCCTAAGAAGTAAGCGCTCCGAAATGGTTGCAACTGCATCGAAACGGAGGTAAGATTTGATGTATATTGCAAATCGTCGGTTCTCTTGCCAATCCGACGCGAGGTTGATGCAGTTCGGACACAGCAAGTGTCATCTAGGGCATGCGGCGGTAAGAAACACATTAACCAGACGGGTAGATCACCCTGTGTCTGAATTTGTCTACTCGGTTCCTCTGGGAGATATCCCTATATCGCGGTATCAACGACGAACTTTCTACACCCCCACCTACGTAGTTTCTTACATAAAGGATAAAAAAGATAAAGCTCTCGGCGTTGATCAATCCCTGAGGGATGCGCCATGCATTCTACTTCAATTTTTAACTTTGTTTGAGGTGATTGAATGCATATCTGGCCTTTACAATGACTCGCGGTGGCCTCCCACTGAACCGAGTCAGTGCTGCTTATCCTCCCAGACAAGTCTGAGACCTGCCTGGTACCAATTTACCGACCCCGGAGGGATAGATGGCTTGGTGAGCCATGAGCGCGAGATCGAACCAGTGACCTCGTGTGCGATGCAGTGCACCTCTAACCACTGCGCCACATGCGCTCACAGTTTCTTACGTATGGCCGTGTAATAGTTATGCGCCATTCAATCGACAGTCAATCATTGTCGACACTCTGAACGAACGGGAAATATTTCACCATACATCGAGTGCAAAATGTTTGTCGTCGATTCCTCTAATAAGGATAGATACCCAAGGAACTGACTGGACGAAAGGGAATCCTGCAACTGACGAGGCCGTAATGCCGAAACACGTGTCTTTCACTGTATAAATGCCATATCAGACCCTTTGAGAGGCTCAAAACATGTTATCAAATTATCAGTTTGTTATTGTTTTGAGCGAGGTCTATAAAAGCAGTCGGTTGCCAAAGTGTGATTCATTTTACTAGTCATGAATAGACGGGTGTTGATCACTGCAGTGCCGGGGAATTTCACACCTGACATGAGGTGATTTTGTAACAGCTTCGGCTTTGATTCCTCTATATGTACGGAATATATCCCCCTGGAAGGGATCGCCTAAACTAAGAGGCACTGTGGTACCGATGAGGCTGTAAGCCTCAATCACGTGGCAATCACTATATAAGTGTCATATCAGATTTCATGTAAGGCTCAAGATATCAACGTAGGTCACTATTTCGCGAGGACTGGCGCATTTTACCCATTTGATCTCCTGACCTGAACCGGGTCAAGGGGGAAATCCGAATCAATCATACAAATAGTCCATCTAACCTCACCTTGGTTGATTAAGGTAATTCACATTCACGTGGGATTCATATTTACCAATCATCAATGTCGAGTTTCATCGGAGGCCGACCTTTTGGGAGTTGATAAAATTAATATAAAATAATTTGTCTTTATAAGTGTTTTTCTGTGATTTGCTCTTTCCTGTGTATCTGGAGGTTTCTCTATCCCATTCATAGTTCTATTTGCAATAATTCAATTTTCAGACTATCTAGCAGCACGAAGATTATGAAGAAACCGTTAGCAACTTCGAATTTCAAGCCTAAAATTGTCGTGAAAGAAAGCGATCGAATCGCAAGGATGAAAGCAGCGAGAGAAGCGTATAGGTATGATGGTGGCCCTTTCATAGGCAATACGGTTCCGTAGCTCTTGACTTTACATATTCTTAAGCCGTCTGCGGACGACAATTGATCGATTATCGCAAGCGCCGCGCGGTTTTTGTTACTTAGAGGGTTTTTTTCCTCTTTCAGGAATAAGCTTTAGAGTTGTTGTATAACTTCGATGTCCCATAGTTTTTTGCTCTACAAACTCATATTCCTTTTGTGTAGACAGAACTCTTATTGCGAAGAAAATTCCAAATATGAAACGTGATTTTCTTCTCTTTCCTTCGACATACTGTGAAGACGTTTTTGAAAACCGAATCCAGCTTCGTAATGGCCGAGATTTGTTCTATCGAATGAGTATTGGTATAACTTTCGTCTCGAGTGTTTTCTTAACCACAGCTCAAATTTCAATATGCCTGTTAATCATTTTGAGCCATGCATGTCAGTGGTCTGTCAAAGAAGGCTGACTTATAGAGCCCGATACACGTGTTTCGATCTAGCGATCTCGTCAGTCGGGCAATTACTCTTTCTCGTATTTTGCCAATCCTGGGCATAGAGTGTAAAACGTTCGCCGTCGCTAACTCTTAGTGTGGGGACTGGAGTACCCACACAGGATTGCCAAAAGACGAGAAAGGGTAACTGCCCGACTGACGAGATCGCAAGATTGAAACATGTGTATCGGGCTCTATAAGTCAGCCCTCTTTGGCAAACCACTGTCATGCTTGGCTCAAAAATGATCACCAAGAGTATTGGTATAGTTCAATGCAAAGCCATCTACAGACTTCATCCGTGCAAATAAAGCACGCCAAGCGTGCAACATACTTTTGCTTGGTACTTTTCCGTTTTGAGTCAAGGATTTTCAAAGACACATCTTTTGCTGGACAAAGAGTTTCCATTAGAATATTTGTGATCGTTCTACAGCATAAATCTCGAGTATCAGATGGTATGTCTGGTTTTTGGAAAGGCTTTCTCACAGCGCTAGACCAGGGAAAATAAAATTGTTAACAGGCGTGGCGCCTCATCGCGCCCGTTTTAGTTATTATAATACGAATGTTTTTCCTCCTCCTCAAAGATTTCTACTGGTTTTTCATTGTTGGAATGTTAGAGTAAGAAAGGTTCCATTGTTTTGTGGGCTTAGGTATTGGATTTCCATTTATACAAAGTAAACTCGCTACTAAGTTTCAGCCTAAGAATATGCGCGTATAACTGGTTGAGAAAATTGTGGAGTATTAGCTTCATAAATTTTTTTCGGAGTTTTTCTCAGAAACTCTAAGCTAGATAACAAAATTATCATGCCCTATGTGAGTCGCGCCACATTGCCGGTCAAACCAAGCCACTCA